GAGCACTTTGATGATGGATGCAAGACTATCCCGTTGTTTACTCTTCAAATCAGAAAAACGTTTCAAGTGTGTTTTGGGAAGTAACATTGTCTCATATGGCCATACAGCCCAGTAAGGCACAACCACCACCCAGTCCACATTTTCAGTAACTATTCGTTCCTGTAAAACCAACGAAAGATAATTACATTCTGAAAACCAAACTGTGTACATTTGAAAGACACATTCATGGGGTAAAGTGTGCATCTCTTTGTTATAAACAAACATAAAAATGCTTTGACATCATTATACTTGTTCACTATGAATAAAATATTCAATTATTTAATACTGTACCTTTCTATAAGAATATTCTCTATTATGCTGTCAGCTAAATATGTCTACACACTATTCCATTATGTGTAAACATAATTATATTGTGTATGTACCTTTAAAATTCAATATGTATATAAGTCTTAGATTTCTTTTACTTCTTTACTGTGAAGTTTATCAAAATAAACATCAATGTTTCAACACTGAATATTTGGTGAAACTTAATAAGAATGCTGTTCTGCATGGTGTAGCTCTCCTGTTCTCATGAGTGAAAGGATTAACAAGTACTGCTGTGTGATGGTTCACTATTTAGTTTAAAGTGCATTGTGGACTTCCAGAACATCAAACACAATTTTATTTCAATCCAAAAGTTATCTAAAAAAGCATATTCTAAAGATGAATGAAGTTTATTTTTTGGATTACATGTTGTTCCTGATGATGAAATTAAGAAAATTCATAGCAGAGAGAGCACAGCAGGATAAGAGTTAAAATTACATTATGTAGACAACAGAATCTCCCACTGAGAAATGCAAAGAAATATTTATTTGGTTGATTGAAGGCTAGTGATTTTTTCAATAGGTGTTTACCTTCTATAATCGATTATAAATTTACACCATGTAATTGTAAAGCTTGAAATTTGGAAGTAAATTATTTCAGTCATGGTTGCAGTGTTTTAAATACCAAGATTTATTAAGTTTATGTATTCAAATAGCATATAAACAAACACACATTTTACACACACACATGTACATATACATAAATTTCACTGTCGAAACACCAAAACATTTTGGAGTCTTCTATTGTTACACATTAAATAGTACCATCATAATCTGTCATAAAATTGCACATCTTTGGGATAGCACATCATGTCATAGGTGACCTGATCTAGTATCTTATCAAAAATAAATACAATCATGCACACAAACAAAACTGTTTACACATGAAATACTCTTAGTGCCAAACGTGTTTCAACCTCAAGAGGTCTTCATCAGTGACAAACAATTAATTCATATTAAATCATACAATTCATAAGACGATGGTTTGTTACAAAGCATAGAATGTCGCACTATATAAAACCATACTTTATGTAATACCACATTGGATATTAATTGCAGAGCAGAAGGTGAAACCAAACATCTTGTTCAAAGTGACACCAGTAGCTAACTTCAGTGGTATACTGATGCAACAGGCACTGGAAATTGTTATATAACAGTGCCCAAGACTGAACAAAATAATTATAGTACAACCGTGTGCTGCAGTGGAGAATACATCACCTTTTTCTCCAGTTCCTTGGAAACATAATCCATAAGTAAGGGCCTCTTAAATTTCTTGTAATACTCAAGCTGGTAGTGTTCCTTGATACGTGGTTCATTTGGGAAGAAACCTGAGGCCCATATCTGGCAGTGAGGATGTGGGTTAGAACAACCCATGATAGCTCCTTTATTCTCAAATATTTGGACCCATATATACTTCTTACCAAGTTCGGTAAGTTCTTCTATCCATCTACCAGCAAATAAAGTTAATATGCAGAACCTTATGAAGTAACATTAGTTTTATAGTAATAATTGTTTTCTTTAATTCAATGCCCAAATTAACATATAATGGACAAGCTGCGTCTGTCTGTTCTCTCTTACCACTTGATAGGTTGAGATGGAATATGGTATAGGAGTTGTATTCTAAAAGTTGTCATGTTAACTTTCATCAAATGGGAACAGGAGAATTAAATCCATGAATTAGGGGGCTGCCAGCTAGACTTCAAATGCATGGTTTAATGGTTTAGCCATTCTAGTTTAAATCTTTGCATTTACTAATTTCCTTTCTTCCTTTATCCACATTCAAGAATGAGAGGGGTGCAGTTAGTTTCTCAACATGGCATGCTGAAAATAAGTCCTTCAAGCTAATTGAAGGTTGCATCCAATATTTCAAGAAGAAACAAAATCAGATGGACATGTGACAAAATATATTACCAGTATGGACAATTAAACTTTTTAAGAAACAGTGAAAGCTGTCAAAATGTTGAAAAAATATAAAGTTGCAACAATCCTCATGCTTGAATGTGAATAAAGCAAGAAATAAAACAAGTAAATGCACAGATTTTAGAAGAAATAGAATTTTATGGCCCAAAGAAATCACAATGATTAAAAATCACCTCAATGGGATTTGAACCACAGTCACCTGCACAGCATACAAATACACTACCACCTGAATTATTGCTGACAACATAAATGCACCTTCTTTTATGAAACTTATGAGCTAACAATGAGAAAAATGGAGAACAAATGTCTGTATCAAAAGTAACAGTAAAATGTTGACACATAATACTCATTATTTCAACCAGGAAACTACAGCAAGGTTCAATGACATTGTGCAAAACTGGAGCAGAATCACAGTTTCAGTCAACTGAATTAACTTCTAAATATCAGTTTTTCTGGAAGTAAATATGTTTGTCTACAGTCAGATTCAAACACAGAACCCTTAAATCAAAACACCAATGAACAACAAATCATCAAAAAATTAATAAAAAACAGCACCATTTCATACTTTTCATTACATTACAGAGACGTATTTACATCAGATTCTCCGGAACCGTGGTTCCACTGTCAACTTTTTGCATAACCGACCCAAATCCCATCTCTACTAGCTTCTACTCTAAACATAAAGGCATCAGATTCCTCTGAAACATTGGAAATCACCTACATAACTGCGGAGTGTCACAACCCCGAAGATCATAATTTAAACACAATTACATTACTATGATTCAAGGTTTAAAATATAGCAGTACAATATAAAGAAATGTATAACAAACGAAATAGAAACTAACTTGTCAATTATGTCCCGAATCTCTGATACTGTCATAAGAGGAAGGGTTATATTTGACTTTGGATGAAAACACATGACTCTGCATGTTCCTTGAGCACTCTCCATTTGGAATAACGGATCACTACTTGGTGGTGGGCTAGGAACATCTTCAAGAAGAGCTGGATAATCATTGGTGAATGTAAATGTAGACTTGTAGTTGGGATTTACCTATATAAGAAAAAAATTAATATTATCTTTAGTTTTGGATTTGCTTGTAGTCTTTATACAAAAATGTTATTTTACACTGATAATAGTATGTATTTTCCACCTGGGTAAAATGCAAGCACTGTGAAACTTCTTGTTTATTCTGTAATTACTGTCATAGCTATATAATTTATATTTTCATTAGAAACAAGTACAGTACTTGGTAATATGACATGATCTACACCCTATGAAAGATTCATGAAATGTAAATAAATTCAATTCAATATACATCAACCTATTGCCGAATCAGTAAGATGACATGTAAATGCATATGTCTTTACTGATATTGATGTTTTCAGTTACAGACATCATAAAATAGCTGGAAATCAAATCAGAAAGATATAGTATCTAAAAAAGTAAGTCTTAGAAACAGTGCAGCTTTCTTTACATGCACACATTATCTTAAAAACAGTTGGCCACTCCACTGCTTCACACAGAAAATAATATAATAATACAAAAATGGCATCTTGTCATTTACTTTATTCCAGTTTCTCATTGCTCACAGATGAAGATAATGAAGACAAACCAGTCATGACCTCCTATATGGTTCTAACACAACACCTGCCTAGAGGGACTGAGGAGCATATATCCAAAATGGGAACTTGCAAATGAAAAAGCAGGAGTGCTAACCACTGTGGCAAGATGTTTGGTCTCCAGGTCATGTGCATACAGGAAACTTCTATTACTCTGCTGCAGCCATTACCACTCTTGCCATCAATGGTGTTTTCCAAAAGAACTGACATGAATTGGGCACTGCTCTTTGTGAGTGACCAACAAGCATGTGATGGGAAAAATTATGGTACTGGGAAGGTTAAGCTGATGAGTTTTAAAATTGTCAAAACATGTCTACAAAAATTAATATATGTAAAACATGTTGCCCCAATGTGACTGCAACCGAAGGTATTAATTCCTTTAAAAAACTGGTTTTCATCAACGAATGTATTATAACCCAAGAGTATTACATTGATGATTTTTACCTGCCCAATATGTCTCATTACACCAGGACACAAAGGATTTTTGGGGTCAAATTCTGGAATTCCTTCGTCGGGTCCATCTTCCACTTGACCACACCAAGGTCTCTTTGTCCTATGTGGTGATACTAGAACCCATTCACCCTTCAAGGGATTGTATCGGGTATGTGCATGTTCTGAATAAAAATTCACATATAAACTCACAGCAGAGTTAATTGGACATAAACAAAGAATTACTTCAAATACTCAATCCCCAATTATAACTTAAGTACAACCTAATTTCACCACTCTCACCATCCCTGTTAAACTCCATAATTCCTTCCAGCATCGTCCTGTAAAAATTTTTATTCGCAAGTCATAGATGATACCTCAAACGTTGATATAACAAACGCTGTTCATTATATACAACTGTCATTCAGAATTCGTAAAGATCGCATAAAATGGTGCTACATGTGTGTATTTTAGTAATACATTTTCAGTCACTTCATATTTGGACGTTGTGGTCAAATGAAACATCATCTCGTGCAAAGGATCGCATCTGGAACTCTTGGTTCCAATTTAATTGACCACAGTTTGGTTGTCTTTGTATGTATGTTACAGTAGCACCAACTGTTCGTGTTTTATTATTTTGGTGGGTATGATCTTTGTTCATATCTTCTGAGGCTAGGTTATTGTTTCTCTGAAACATGGCGCGTGGAAGTAGTGCTGGGTTTGACAGACATATTACTATATTTTCTCCCGAAGGTAGACTGTATCAAGTTGGTATGTTTTGATAGTCAGTGTTTTTAAAGAATTTCTCTATTTGCATGAAGTTAGTTTTGGGTTTCGGAGTTGGATTCTTGAAACAAAAGCTTGTTAGGGGCACAATGACTCTGCAGTCTACAGGTTTGTTTAATGAAATTTTTCTTGTATTTTCAGAATATGCATTTAAAGCTATTAACCAAGGAGGATTGACTTCTGTTGCCCTGAAAGGAGTGGATACAGCTGTCATAGCTACTCAGAAAAAAGTGCCTGTTAGTATGAGAGGTTTTAGATTCTTACGGTGTAGAGTATGAAAATGTTTGTCATATGTGTTGTTGCGTCGACTTGCCAGGATGATCATCGCCCTGATAAGAGGCAAGAAGTACCTCTGAAACGTATACCAATATCTATCAGTCTTCACAGCGCAACATCCCAGAAGACAACCATTTTCATGCTTGTTACAGCAGATTCTTTTTCTCGTGAAGCTTGGGTGAAAACCAGTCAGGAGGATGCTATGCAACAGGGTGGGCCGATTGTATCGTGTGCTTCCTGACTGGTTTCATTTGGGTGCAGAGCCCAACTTAGAAGTGTTACCAGGAATATCTTACAGCCTAGTGAGATGGTTCAGGCCAGTCTTGCAGTGGCGAAATGGCAAAATTCACGACACTGAACTGCTTACTGTGTGTTTAGTACCAACTGAACTGAAGGTGTCCCCACCCATACTGTTGTGATTAGTTGTTGTATGTCTCAGCGAAGGTCAGATTTCATGAGCAAAGAATTAACAATACTATGTTTGCTTTCATGAGGGTGTTTAATCCCTTAAGTGTCACAATTTTACAAGCTTCTTTAATGCGTCATTTTGAGTATTTTTTTGCTATTCTCAGGCTTTCTATACTATGTATTTTAATGAACCACATTTTTGTCATATCTTATGATTGGAAATCTGTTCAGAAGCCTTGTAGACTTCTCTGTTGTTACTGATATAACTATATATTCTGACATATCAGTAAATTTTGTTTGTGTTTTAAATGACAAGCTTGTTTTTTAAAGGCAAAGGATATTCTTCCAACAAGACAGAAATTTCACATGGCGACTAGTATTTTGTAACTCTTCCTGTTGTTGCAGAATATAATACTGCAGTAATTTGTTCATTCTGAACTGTATATTAGGTCTTGTTTGTCCAACATTTCTACAGTACCATGGAAATGGGTGCTCTTCTGCAGAAGTGTGTAGCACTAAAAGGGTTAACACCTACTAATATAAGTTCATCTATGACACTAAACAAGGGAAAACTTAACTAAATAAGCCATCTGTCCAAAAATTAAAAACTGGCAGGGAATGCAGCTCATTGGGGTACCAACACAATATTCACTACTCTTATCACATGTGGTATGTTCTTGTTTCAGTGTATATACTGTACAAGGGTAGGAAAATGTTATGCTGCATAACACTAAACTTTTAAGATTGAAGGTTGATCCATCAGTAATATGCCAAAATGAGACATTACAGAACTGCTGCCCTCCCCACCCCAAGTACTTCATATGAGCCCAGAGATAAAACTGTGAATCTGCAAAAATTTAATTTTTCATTGTCAAAAAGAAGGTATTTGTTCTATGGTAATTTCTACATTGTCACTTGTAAAACGTACTTAACCGTGTGAAGAGGACGAACACGTAGACCATAACTACAGGAAAAAGAAACATACAGCTTTTCTTTCCATCTACACAACAGATAGTATTTTAGCAAAATATTAATTTCTAGGCATTGTCATACAGTTCAATTATTACCATTTTTATTGTGTATTCTGTGTCACCTGATTATGGTCGTACATAATTAGTAAGGTTTGTTGTGTGTACAAGAAAAGGTACTTTAATATATCATTACATAACAGGATATCTTATTTCAAGAGTGATTCTACAGTGTAGGGTTAGAAGGGTGACAACACAACTTGCAAGTGTTCAGATGTATTGTTTACATCATCAAGTTTTCAGGTAGTATGACACATATGATATGAACTACTGTTAGGGCTAAAATTAGCCCCATTGACATGATTCCATTCAGTACTGGTTTTACTGCAATAGTGATATGAGTAGATTCAAGTATTGTTGTAGTTAAAATTATAAACTAACATTTAAAAATATATTAGTTTTAACATTTGTTATAAAAATCATAGTTCATATCATGTGAGTCAGGGCAGCTCAGTCAGTATAGTGACTCACTACGTGCTGCACAGCCAGGATTTTATCCCTGATGGGGCAGAAGAGTTTTCCTCTAGCCTCTGCGTCCAGACTGGCTCTGGAGTCCACCCAGCCTCCTATTCAGTGGGTACTGGCAGCCTTTCCCAGGGATAAAGCACAGCTGGGGCATGATGCTGACCAATTTCAGAAATTAAGCCTGGTTACTGAATTATTTGCTGCACGGAGTGCATTACTATTGTATAATACCATAATTTAATTAATGTTGAAGTTCTCATGGTTCCTTTTCATAGTTCCTGTTTCTTGTCAAAGGAATTTAAGAGACATGTGAGGTGATTCTTCAAGCTGAACAGCTCTGATTTCATCCAACTTTTCTTCTGTTAATCCTCTGTGTTGGCATCTTGGTTTCTGAGCTGTTAACAAGTCAGTTATGGTTATGTTATTGACAAGGTTATGAATAGTGTTTATTTTTGGAACTCAAATGCCCAGAAACTTTCTTTTTAATTTCCTCTGTCTCTTCCTAGCAGAGTTACAATTCACATAAGAGTCATATACCTGATGCTGTAGTGTAGATTTGGCCATTTTCTGCACATATATACTCATAAGAGGACAATGCAATGAAGTTTAACATTGTTGCTAACTTGTAGTGACTGACAGCAACTGACAGTGGAAAGGCTGTGCCCTCATATAACTATCAGATATCTACCTTCTAGTTCAGCAGTACCATCCGATGATGCCTTGTATTGAAAAGATGTAAATAATATATTTGATTACTTGTATTTTGTGTTGACATTCTAATCTCTTTATTTGTAAGTAAGAACACACCAAGAAGTTTTTGTTTTCCATCCTTAATTTGATGCTCTGTTTCTTACATCTCTGTAGGACAAGCTGCTTGATGCTTCTACTGTGACTCACCTGTTTAAGCTCACAGACAGAATAGGATGTGTCATGACTGGGATGATTGGTAAGTATAAGATAGGTTGATTTCTTTCAGAATCTGAGATAAACATATGGCAGAATTATCTCAGCAGTCAGTTCCCGTTGTTGCTTTATCAGATACCTCTCCTTCCTCCCACGTGTGATGATATATCCCAGTTCCTTCTCGTGTCCAAGCATGTGGCCGCAAAGACAGATGTACTTTGAGAGAATTATCTTGTTCCTATGCACTAATGCCAACATGACAAGTTACCAAAACTGCAGCTTCAGAACACGGTAGGGAAGGTCAATGTCAGGGTTCTATACAGCCTGGCATATTTTATCACCTTTTCCATAGTGCTTACATGCACTCATACATACACGCGTGCACAATGGTCTTGTCCTTATACGGTCAAAACATGAATAGTGTACAATTGCCTGCTATGTATTCAGATAGCAGCCTGTTTAAGTTTTGAAGTTCCAGTTGATGGATTAACATGTATGGCATCAAACATTTTCTTTTCATTCCCTACATTGTGTATTGGTGTTGTGACTATCAGTTTCCTTCAGACTGGTATCGCAACAACACATTAGGTTGCCTCAGATCTTGATACATCTGCTGTAATTCCTTCAATCTGCAGCATTTCCATTCAAAACACCATATACAAAATGCATATTTAAAACTGTGTTGGTAAAGAAGTTTATCTGTTGTCATTGCTTTGCCATGGGAACTAATGTGAGCAATACATAACCTCCGTGTTGGTATGCGTGAAGGATCCACTGCATAGTCATGCACAAAATCACAACTAGAAGTTCCAAATTGGGCTTACCTCTGAAATGTTGGCCAATGAGACAACTGTTCATTTACATATTCTGCTCCAAATTATCTCCCTGACAACGTCCCAAGTATGTACTTAGGAATATGAATTGCCCTTTATACAGAATATTTATTTTCTCTCTGTATGTAGCCAGATTTATTATAAATTAGATATAGTAAGCACTTTTTTATTGAACTTTCTAGCTAATATTATGTTGTTATAGCGGATAGCAAATCCCAAGTGCAACGTGCTCGCTATGAAGCTGCCAACTGGAAGTACAAGAATGGTTATGATATTCCTGTGGATACCTTGTGTCGACGGGTAGCTGATATCTCACAAGTCTACACTCAAAATGCGGAGATGCGTCCTCTGGGTTGCAGTAAGATATTTTGTTTTAAAGTGAATAAAAAAATTGTAGTATAACACATTGTTTCACATTCAAGAATATATGCAACTGACTTAATTGGGGCCCATGCTATACTTGTTATGGTAATCAATATTTTGTCTTAAGTCTTACCTTGTACACTTTGACTATTAACCTGAAAGGCCCAACAAACGCATAGATATCATAACACATAATCCATACACGTACTTTGCAAAGTAGGTCTCCCAAGTGGTCATTTCTCATCAGATGTGCTGCACATTTATAACTTTAACATAAATGACCTTGCCTCTAGCAACTTTAACATCTTTGGACCACTGAAGAAGCACTAAAAAGTACAAGCAAGCTTCAGAGCCATGATTTCTTCTCCACAGAAATTGAACAGTGTGAAATCATTTTAGTATTACTGGAGCCAAACTGTGTATCATTGTAATAGTAGAGGTTGATTGGTGCTACTTTACATTTCCATAATTTCTTTCAGTTAAATGACCTTCACCTTTATAAGACAGTTTCAAGATTACTCTGTACACATGAGAATGTAAAGTTTCTCCCTTTTGTCACAATCAGACTGTCTAGAAATTGAATTTTCATCATAATACTGTAGATGCTGTGCCTACCATGAAAATTCATTTCTTTCATTGCTTCAAATTTTTGGTAGATTTACAGTATGAAAAATAAATTTTCCTCTCATTCCTGATACACTGACGTTCGCCACAAGAGCTTTATTTGTGCGTGTGTGTATGTGGCTTCAGGTTTTGGTTTGTGATCAGTAAAGTGGTAGCTGGATGTTGGGGGCATGGATATAGGGATTTTCCCCTTGCAATCATGTCCATTGGGTAGGAAAGGGGCTCTTTCATAGGGATAAAGTTTAGTACAATTCATGGCATGATTAGGAATAATTTTTGGGGCATTCGATAGATTCAGGTCTGCCTACAAATGTAATTTATTTTTTCAGGTATGATACTTATTGCGTATGATGATGAGAATGGACCATGTGTGTATAAGACGGATCCAGCTGGTTACTTTTGTGGTTATAGAGCCATTAGTGTGGGCTCCAAACAGACAGAAGCTAACAGCTATCTTGAGAAGAAACTCAAGAAGAAACAAGAATATACCAGTGAGGAAGCCATCCAGGTTGGTTTTTAGAAAAGTTATTGCATATTGTTTATTAATTCTCGAAGTGTGTAGACCAATGAGCAAAACGCCAGTTTTCTTCCCTTATGTTATGGTCACTTCTTCAAGTCAGTTTGTTTGGAAATAGTTTCAGAAGGAATGTTTCCTTCATAACTTATTTGTAATTTATTCATATTTTAGTCTTTGGCTTATCACCATATCATATCATGGTACAGCTGTGGCTGGGATATGGGGTCAAATGATATGTAACCCATGGTGTGGCAGATATTGACCTTAACAGAATGCACAATAAAGACTGGAAGTGCAACTGTGTTTTTTGCATAAAAATTTTGTGGTTAGTCACTATTTAGTGTCAGATATTGAAATAATAGGCGTTTGCTGTGTATATATATATATTTTAATCCATTACAGTTGGCCATTACATGCTTATCCACTGTCCTGTCAGTGGACTTCAAACCTACTGAAATTGAAGTAGGCATTGTTACAAAAGAGAACTCCAAGTTCAGGTAAGTTTATCTTTTGTAAATTAAACATTCTAAGACATGAGATAGTCTTGAATGGCCTTCAGAAGAATGTGTGATTCATAACAGGAGCAAATTTATTGTGAATGAATGTTTCTCTTGTCTTTGCAGGGTTCTGAATGAATCTGAAGTTGATAAGCATCTGACAGCTATTGCAGAGAAAGATTAAAATATGTGGTAAAATATGTCAGGTGATTGCATTAATAAATACTAAATATGAGAATACAGTGTTCATGTTTTACAAACTTTGTTCTTATTACATGTGAGCAAACAATAAATTCTACATTGTAGAACAAAGGGCATCAACTGTTACATATTGTCCTGCCTATTTTTTTATGGCAGTTCCATATTTACATGCTTAAAATACCAATAAATTCTTGTATACATGAACATGAGACTAAACAGTCAGACTTTTTCATCTTTTCATGAAATGAATTCTTTGTGACATTATTTTAACCCTTTAATGTCAGAAACGTTTAAATCTTGTTATATTTTCTGCTGTAGGAGCTGTTTTATGGGGGTTTAAATTTTTACCTAGTTGAATTGTAAAAGTAGGTGCTATTTAAAGTTGTCATAATTTCTGTGAATTTTATGGAATAATCAAACACTGTACATTCATAAAACATATTTAGTGTTGCCTTTGAGGGTTTTTTTAATGTTTCTTTTATTATCTTCATAATGCTCGATGCACAGAGCAGTATCACAGTCCCAGTAGTGGTACGCAGTCTCTGTTTCCCATGCTTACTGCAGACGATGCACCTTGTTGGTTTTAATTTTTTCTCCATTGTTGGTATTCTCTTTGGGAAGTGCACCCCCACATTACTATCGAGATGTCAGCGTCTATCTGTACCTGACAGTACTTTTCCTGACTGATGGATAGGATGCAGAAGACCTGTTTAGTACCCTCTCATGATCACCAGATTTAACACCACCTGACTTTTTCTTGTGGGGTTGAAGGACACGGTGTACAGCAAAAGCCAGCAACACTTCAAAAGCTCCAGTAAGTAACTAATGGTCTTGTGCAGACATCCCAGCAGTAACTTTGGTGGCCGTTTGTCAGTCAGTTGAGCACTGCTGTCAACTATGTCATGTCAAGCCAATAGTGGTCATTTTGAACATCTACACTAGACTCACTGATTCACTAAAAGCCAATGCTAACATATGTAATGATTTATTTTATTAAAATATCTTTATTTCATTCATTGAATGTGAGTATACATCTTTTTGGGATACGCAGTATGTGTAGTGAATGTGATGTTGGATTGTGTGCCTTCCTGCGCCAATAAATTCTACACAATAGAAGTTTTTAAAAGACAACAAAGTGTACACAATCTAAATAGCACTTATTTTATTAATTTTCAAATTGTACAACTCTAGGATAGTTCTGAAAAGGCGAGTGCTTTGTATCACAAAAGTCTCATTTGAGCAGCTTCAGTTTCTTGAACTGTACTCGAGCAACAGACTGCCTCTTGCCCAATATGAATTTTCATATTCTGAACTGTCCAAAATAAATGAGTCATTAATCTTCTCTACATTATGAAAGTCCATAATAATCACATTAATATTGGTTTTCTGCTACCAGTAGTGAAGGTGGCAACCACAAAGCAACCATCTGAATTTTTATGAAAACTCGCTTCAAAGTATGACAAAGAAAATTAATATGAACAGTGCAGTTACACAAATCACTCAGTGCATAGTATGAGCAAATACTGTATGACAATTTGTACCTTGTCCCTCATATTTTCCATAAGCAATTCCAAATTGTGGCTTTGTTTCACAAAACAATAACATCTATCCAAATGACATAACATCCTGGTTTGTAACATGGGTACAGTGAGTGTCCTTTCATATCCCCTAATTCAATTCAAGTAAGAATTAACCAAATACACCACAGTAATTAAAAGTCTTAGAAAACCTAGTCTTTGTCAAGCTTCTGGGCATTCAAATTCCCAGTACCCATACTTGCTGCATGCATTATTTTGCTCCAGCAGTAGCTAGAGGATTTCTTAATACCAAAATGACGGAATCACCACGCAGAAACATCTTTGAAATGAACCTATCCTTGTTAACTGGTTTTGCCTGAAATAAATACAAATTAAATATATTAGCATTTTTACGTGTGTATTATTCACACTACAAGGCATACTAACATGAATCATTTGTTGTACAAGCAAGGATGCATACATCAGATAAAAACACTTAAAATCATATACCAAAATATATCAGCAAATTACAATAATGCTTACAGAAATAAAATAACATTTCCAGAAACTTACTTTCTTCTTTCCTTTTCCAGTCCGTGGAAGTTCTGTCCACATTTCTTTGACATTTTCCAACACCATATTACAGTGCCTGTCAAATGCCTTCACCCGTCCAAGAAGTTTTTTGTTGTTACGACAGTTGATCAATACCTGTAAAACATGTTAACACTAAAGCTCTTCCTAGCAAGTTTTGTGATTTTGCACCATTTTAGCATGAATTCTTACAAATATTTTGTAACAACCAAGTAGTAAGAAAGGGTCAGTCTGTGGGCAGTGAAGTTAAAATATGGGAAGGACCATGAAACTAACTTGAATCTATCGCTAAATAGTTAAGCATGCTGCTTTATCACTGTATCACAGGACAGCAATTATGTTTCTATAGAGTGGCCCTCTTACAATTTTTTGAATACATATTTCCTGACTCTTAAACTTCAAAACGTTTATTCCAGAACCAAAATAAAAGCTTATTTATGAAAAATGTTTATTATAATTCTTGAAAGCTAGGCATGGGTGTCCTTCCACAACATTGTTCTACAACAGTCTCCATGTACAAGGAAACATAATGGAGTACGAACCAATTAATCAAACTTTAATCACACGTTCCCACCTGTGTGTTATTTTTCACTGATTGTGTAAGAACTGAAAGAGGCCCTGTACTAAATTCTTCTTCTTCTCGTTTAGCCAATTCCTCTGGCGTCATCTCAGACTTTGGTTTGTTTAAAAGAGCCGTTCTGAAAAACATTAATTCCAAACATTTTACTGTGTACATAAATCAAAACTGGAGATGAAAATAAAGCACATTACTGATACTTACGTCATTTTATACACAAGATTAACTTTCCAGTAAGTCACAACTGTAATAAAGATATATTGAGACTAATGGTTATACACAACATAAAATACCAACTGCACACACTGCATCCGGTTGAAGCATATATCGTATTCACTCCGCTATGTTGGTATTCCGAGTGAGATATAAATAAGCGCAGTGTTTGTCTGGGATTTATTTTTTGGTTTTGTTAAGACCTCTTAGAAAATAACCAGCAGGTAGCTGTAGTTCATGTATGACAAAACTACAAAATTTGTACAAGTATTTTAAACTTTGGTTGGTGTTGGCTACCCAGATTATGGTTTCAGACCCTGGGTGATGCCATTATTTACTTTTTGTAAGTATGTAAGATCTACGTATTTCAATGACACGTTACATGACCTTTCAGACCCCCTGGGATTAACTGTGTCTCTCACGCCATTATTTCTAGCCTGTACGTAACAACTACATTTTTCAGTGGCATAAGGCATAGCGAATTTTTGTGTTGTATTTCCGCAATATTGCTCCACAGACTGGCACAACCGGTTCAACCACTAGGCAATGTAGGCGGTCGCCTAGGGCGAAAAATTTAAGGGGCAGTAAACACTGATTTAATAAAAAAAGGATGAGAAATTACATAAAATAGAATAATAATAATCGTCGAAACTCAGAAAGAGAAAGTAGGAAGGAATAAATATGTTTTCGCGACTTTGTTACATGCCAGCTTTGTAACGCTGTGATTTTAAGTTCTCACATAGTGGCAAGTATGAAGATGGTTATCTTCTGTGATATTATATCGTGTAATCTGGTGCAAACTGACCGCCGTTTCAGTGGTGCTTACTGCCCCATCATTAGAATGATGCCTTTATAACGCCGCAAGTAAATACCACTGAAACGTTAGTCAGTTTACACCAGTGTTTACCGATCTACATGTTGGTATTAACTGTGGTTTATGTGATCAAAGAATGTGTTCAGTGGTTGAAATTTTGTTTGAAATGAAGAAAATATGTGAACATCCACATTTACTGCCAAGTTCAATAATGAGTATGAGCAATACTTCTTCACAGTGTAAGTGCTTCCATGACATATAATGGGACAGCATTACTTTAACAATAAATGATTGTCAATCTCAGAAGTACCATGTGAGTCATTACTTTTGTCACTTGCATTGTCCCACCTTTGCTAACTAATGTATGTGCTTTCATATATGATACATTTCAGATACTGGAAGGAACTGGGAATATGAAAACCCAATGAATTGTATGTGTGATTTCTAGTATTAGAAAAAGAAAAACATGGAGAGGTTATTAAAGGAACAGACATCAAATGCTATGATGAGCAACAACAGATCACAGTCTACTCGAAAGCAGGTTCTCCAGGTGATACAGCTTAGTATGGTGAATGTTATCAGCATGTCACTCCCTCCAGGTATGGAATTTTCTGTGTATTCCCAGGGTACAATAGGACAGGGGTGTGTTGTTTGGCTTGTTGGAATTAAATTGGTTTTGCTCTAAGCATGGGTGTCTTTGTAATTTATTTCATCAGGGTACAGTGGTTTTATTAGGTTATTTTATGATATAATTATTAGGTCTGAATGTTGGTACATACAGAAGAAATTAATTTACTGCCAGTTTACAGTAAAAGTCTCAGAAAAGTGATGTGTCTAGATTCTGGATAATTTGTTTGGAACTATTTCTCCTCCATATCTTCTGACTGATAGATTGGAGGGGTGGAAATGTTAATTTTTTCCCACATGTACTACAATCAGTTAAATACGTTGTTGAATTTATAGTTTTAGCCTTATGTTACATAAATTTATTTATTTAACAGTAAGTTTTAAAATGATGTAAAAGAATTTTGTGATGTAATTCTGGTTTACTGCATCATAGCAATGGAGCAGTACCATTGGTATTACTTGTCCTTCAATTAGTTTTCCACCTATCTCAGAGTCACACATAACCACTTCATGGGTGTTGAACACAGTGTAGTGTGTGCTGGTGTGCCACTGCTAATCACACACAGATCCTGTCACTCCTCTGCCTATATGACTGTTCACTGCTCTTCCACTAATAGGGTATCCGCTGCTAATATTGTCTTAGAATCACCGATTGAGCAATAGCACTACTCAGTCAGTTTGAAAGCATACAATGTCACTCACCACAAACTCAATGTATTTTTATGATATTTCACGCACCACCACCTCAAGGCCAACAGTTTTTCCAGAAATTACACAATATTCCTAGCTCTATTAATCCCCCCCCCCCCCCCC